CTGATCTATTTCAGCCTAGGTCCCTACTGAAGTTTGACAAGTAGAAATCTTCAGACAACTAATCTATATCAGCCTACTTCCCTACTGAAGTTTGACAAGTAGAAATCTTCAGACAACTGGCCTATTTCAGCCTGCGTCCCTACTGAAGTTTGACAAGTAGAAATCTTCAGACAACTGATCTATTTCAGCCTGCGTCCCTACTGAAGTTTGACATGTAGAAATCTTCAGACAACTGATCTATTTCAGCCTAGGTCCCTACTGAAGTTTGACATGTAGAAATCTTCAGACAACAGATCTATTTCAGCCTAGGTCCCTACTGAAGTTAGACAAGTAGAAATCTTCAGACAACTTATCCATTTCAGCCTGCGTCCCTACTGAAGTTTGACAAGTAGAAATCTTCAGACAACTAATCGATTTCAGCCTGCGTCCCTACTGAAGTTTGACAAGTAGAAATCTTCAGACAACTGATCTATATCAGCCTACTTCCCTACTGAAGTTTGACTAGTAGAAATCTTCAGACAACTGGCCTATTTCAGCCTAGGCCCCTACTGAAGTTTGACAAGTAGAGATCTTCAGACAACTGATCTATATCAGCCTACTTCCCTACTGAAGTTTGACAAGTAGAAATCTTCAGACAACTGATCTATATCAGCCTACTTCCCTACTGAAGTTTGACAAGTAGAGATCTTCAGACAACTGATCTATTTCAGCCTAGGCCCCTACTGAAGTTTGACAAGTAGAGATCTTCAGACAACTGATCTATATCAGCCTACTTCCCTACTGAAGTTTGACAAGTAGAAATCTTCAGACAACTGATCTATATCAGCCTACTTCCCTACTGAAGTTTGACAAGTAGAAATCTTCAGACAACTGGCCTATTTCAGCCTACTTCCCTACTGAAGTTTGACAAGTAGAAATCTTCAGACAACTGATCTATTTCAGCCTAGGCCCCTACTGAAGTTTGACAAGTAGAAATCTTCAGACAACTGATCTATATCAGCCTACTTCCCTACTGAAGTTTGACAAGTAGAGATCTTCAGACAACTGATCTATTTCAGTCTAGGCCCCTACTGAAGTTTGACAAGTAGAGATCTTCAGACAACTGATCTATATCAGCCTACTTCACTACTGAAGTTTGACAGGTAGAAATCTTCAGACAACTGATCTATATCAGCCTACTTCCCTACTGAAGTTTGACATGTAGAGATCTTCAGACAACTGATCTATTTCAGCCTGAGTCCCTACTGAAGTTTAACAAGTAGAAATCTTCAGACAACTGATCTATTTCAGCCTGCGTCCCTACTGAAGTTTAACAAGTAGAAATCTTCAGACAACTAATCTATTTCAGCCTAGGTCCCTACTGAAGTTTGACAAATAGAGATCTTTAGACAACTGATCTATATCAGCTGAGTCCCTACTAAAGTTTGGCAAGTAGAAATCTTCAGACAACTGATCTATATCAGCCTGTATCCCGACTGAAGTTTGGCAAGTAGAGATCTTCAGACAACTGATCAATTTCAGCCTGTATCCCGACTGAAGTTTGGCAAGTAGAGATCTTCAGACAACTGATCTATATCAGCCTACTTCCCTACTGAAGTTTGACAGGTAGAAATCTTCAGACAACTGATCTATTTCAGCCTAGGTTCCTACTGAAGTTTGACAAGTAGAGATCTTCAGACAACTGATCTATATCAGCCTGTATCCCGACTGAAGTTTGACAAGTAGAAATCTTCAGACAACTGATCTATTTCAGCCTAGGTCCCTACTGAAGTTTGACAAGTAGAGATCTTCAGACAACTGATCAATTTCAGCCTAGGTCCCTACTGAAGTTTGACAAGTAGAGATCTTCAGACAACTGATCTATTTCAGCCTAGGTCCCTACTTAAGTTTGACAAGTAGAGATCTTCAGACAACTGATCTATTTCAGTCTGCGTCTATACTGAAGTTTGACAAGTAGAGATCTTCAGACAACTGACCTATTTCAGCCTACTTCCCTGCTGAAGTTTGACAAGTAGAAATCTCCAGACAACTGACCCATTTCAGCCTGTGTTCCTTCAGACAACTGACCTGTTTCAGCCTGAGTCCCTACTGAAGTTGGACAAGTAGAATTTATTCTCATGTCTATTATTATATAACTATTTATAATAAAATATCCAATCCATTAGTATTTATGTCACCTTCATCAGATTCACATTGATTAATTTATTCACCTATATTCCAAATATAATTACATATGCTGAAAAATCATGCACCAATAAATTTTCTATTAGATTGTAACCAAGTTTTAATTTCTTTGAAAGCTGTGTTCAATAAGGTGTTAACAAGTATGAAAACTTACATAAATTCTCTATTTCTATTAGTAAGCATAGAATATATATTAAATCATATTTATGAGCTATACTGAAGCAGACAATATGAATATTATGTTGATCTTCTGATAAAATGAAATTGAGTCATATGTCCTTCATCATTTTTACCATGCCCCTTTCTTAATAAATAGATTGGGCCATGAATTTCTTTATACAAAAAGCTTTGTATGAGGAAGTAAATTTTAGGGACAGATGTGTCATTTTGGGGGGGTTGATTTGACTCTTGAATGTATGTAAAGCTGTCAGAAATAATAGAAATATCATAATTCAAAAATATCTCAAACTAAGAATAACTTTTACTATTTCTATAGATATCTTTTCTATATATGACAGTGTCTCAATAATAAACAACTCGTCTTTTTAACTTTCAAACACAGATAATTCTGGACACACAATGTAGAAAATCAAGAACATTGATCAACTCCCTAAAAGAAAGTTTACCTTCTAAAGTGAAACACGATAGAAGTAAAAAAAAGTTTCAAGAGAAGATGTTTATTGTCCTACTTCAAACAATTCAAATTAAACAGTTTAATCATTACCTCTGATTGAACCCTGGATATTTGGTTAGAAGACAAATGACCAGCTTACCAAGACACTACCACAGATTTACCAAATCTGAGTTAACTCTAAATTATATTCTGTTCTGTGCATAATCAAGTAACCATTTCAAAAGTTGCCTTGTTTTCAAATTTTCTCGGCAATTGATAACTAAATTGCATTGAAAAATTCCCACACTTTTATCTTTAGACAACTGCCAAATTTTCAAAACTTTCTTACCTTGAAGTGTTCATTTTTGAAACTTTGTAAAGTTAAAAGAAACGACCAAGAATAGAGAGAACGTGTGAACTTTATCTGAGTCAATAAACTACAATCTGTGAAAGATTTAGAGAAATTGAGACCGTGTAAGAAAATATTGATCAACCAAGCTTTGTACCAGCTGATAAAGATTTTATTATAATGTTATTCACATCACCATTGATTTACTAAATCATTTTTAAACCCACATCCAGACTTGAATAAATACACATTTAGGTGACCTGCAAGAAGCAGGGTCACTGATACAATAATTTTTGCCACCCATGATTGTCTTAACACAGTGAATTTGTTTCTCAAGATATTTTCAAGCCTTCAACCAAGCTTAAGTCAAAATTCAGATATGAGATAAAAGGCTTCAAAATCAGGATCAATTGATTCAATGACTTTTGCCAATCATGTCTGATGTGAACTTTATTATGTCCGTCAGTGAAATTGTTCTTAACCAGTTAATGTTGTTTTATAAAGCTTTGTCTTACAATATCTAAATGCCATTTAAAATCTTCACCAATGCAGTAATTAAGATTCAGGATTATCAATTTATCTCACTCATTCATGCCAGCAGCAGGGTTCATACAGCACTTTGCCTCAAAAATTCAAAGACTTTTCAAGGACTCTGGGCTTTGAAATTCAAGGACTTTTCAAGGATATTAATCTGACAAAATACACATGTACCTTACTTCTGAACTGTGAAATCAATAAAGATAGTTAATATTTGTCAATGGGGTTAATGATAAAAATATACACAATTTGACTCAACTCAAAATTCAAGAACTTTTCAAGAGAAAATGGGTTTTTTATAATGTTTTCAACAACTTTTTTTGAAATCAAGGTTTTTCAAGGTTTTTCAAGGCAACGGATGGAATTCAAGGGTTTTTCAAGGCTGTGCGAACCCTGCAGCAGTAGACAATTTAGGAGAAAGCCATTGGCCCATTGCCTCTAACTCAAACTTGTGATAGATCTTATTTTGAAGTGAAAATTAAGCCCTCTATAGTTCTAAATTAATCTCAGGGCCAACTGAAATCCGTAGGCTTCTGGGAGGTGCCTCTGGCAGCCCCCAGGTCGCTGGCCTCAAGGGGCTTTGGACTCCTCGGGCTTTGGACCTCATTTTCTAGATACAGCCTTGCATGCCACTGCCAGACATGTCTGACTAAAACCTTAACAGTGAGAACAATTTCAATTTGTGGGACCTGAAATACTTCTAAAGTAGCTTGGGTACACCAATCTGTAAACAGGTTAGGTTAGAGCCTATTATTGTCACTGATTTGAATCTAATAATATGTATTTGGGAGTTGCCTTCTTGACAATTGGTTGGGGTTCGGCGACTCCCACTTGTTAGTTCTGGAGTTGAATCTTGTCATTCGGGTACAATATACGGATAATAAGTCAATGTTCGTGAAAATCATATCCCCTTCTGTTAAACAATTGTTCCATAAATATTCAAGTCATTTAATTGAAGAATGATTTGATCTACTTACCACCTAAAACCTTCGGTTTAAAGTTAAGAAACCAATTTTGACAGCAACACAAACAAGCACATGCAACCGGAAGTCACACAAGAGTTATCTCAAAGATGGAGCATTCCATTTGAGTGTTCAAGATTAAGGGGAGGAAGGTTGCTGAGAAAGCACTTTTGTGCCTTCCATTTCGATAAAATTCAGCTACACTGATTCCAAATGAGATTTTCTGTTTCTATTTGAATGTTATGCGAATCTTTACTTCATTTTCGAATGGTATATTTCAGTTTTGGAACAGTTCAAAATGGGTCGATGTAAGCTTCACCCCTCAATAGTACAACCAATTTCATCAGAAAATAAACATGGCTCCTAACAAAAACAAATCCAGTGGTCGAGCCTCTGGAGAAGATTTAAAACAAGAAGATGTCCTCCAAGCAGTTGTGATTGCTGACAGTTTTAATGTTCGATTTGGTCCCTTGACGTTGAAAAAGCCAAGAGTGAGTATTGACAGCAGCGTTAGAGAAATTCGACAAAATAATACATTATTGCACAGGTGTCTGTAAAATGCCAACCCACGTTAGTTACGTTTCTCGTAGTTGATGTCAATCTATTTATTGCTTGATATGAAAGGATTTGTAAGCTTAAAAGATTGTTTGATGTCATAGTACTTGTAGTAGGGCCTACTTTACGTGAGAAATTCAAGATAAGAAGATAACACTAGGCAGATAGCCACATTGGATGGTGTAGGAAGTCAGAGACAAGTTGTAGAGTAGTGTGCCATATGGAATTTGTCCATCCAAATAAATGGACAAGAAGAAGTCAGGCCGGTGGTTTCAAACCCATCAACTTCACCTCTCACAGGCTACATGTATCTACGCTTGTGAACATGATGATTCTTGAATCTTTTTGAGATATTTTATATCATTGATTGATAAAGACGAAAGTACCTTCACAAGTTATTTATCACAGTAATTGTTATCCATGTAATTGTGTCCAGTTTTCAATTATTTTCTGTAGGTCCAAATCACCCTCACCCTAATGGTCAGTCTAGCATCGACTTTCATCCCTTTTCCATAATGTAACAAATGAAATCTCAATTTGCAGGCATTGTTACCACTAGTGAACGTACCTCTGATAGATTACACTCTTAATTTTCTGGCTGCTGCAGGAATACAGGAAGTGTTTGTGGTCTGTTGCCATTTAGCTGATCAGATAAGAACACATTTAAAGTAAGTAGCAGTATACTCAGTCAGATTTCATCTTTACAACATTACCCAAGGCAAAAGTTATGGCATGTATCATATATATTTATACAATACAATAATCAGAACTAAAAAACATGTCATTATGTCAGAAACTAAAGTCATCCAAATGATTTGTTTTATATTTCAGAAATTCCAAATGGAGCGAAGTTGGTTCTTCTATGACAGTGACCCCTATATTATCAGATGGTTGTATGTCGGTCGGTGACTCTTTACGTGAAATAGACTCCAAGTCGTTGATACGTAGTGATTTTATATTAATAACAGGAGATGTGGTATCTAATATAGCAATACAAAATATCATGGATATACACAAGTACGTCAATTTTATACAGACTACTGACAGTGTGTTGGTTTATTAACATCCATACTGTTGGTCGTGGTTATCATCTAAACTCTTAGATCTGTCTGTTTTAGATAGTTCAAGTTTAGATATGTATTGAACCAGGTTACTATTTCCAGTAATGCAGCAGAGTAGGGTAGTTCCTTGGAAAACTAACATTATAGTGTAACATATGTTTATTGTACAAACTAGCAAACTCCTTCAAAGATTTCAAATAAGCGAATAATCGAAGTGATGGTTATGAATACAGGGTTCCGTCTTATTTAAAATAGGTCAGTTGTCTGAAGATCGCAAATAGTGATACTCTGAGTGACAACATGTTTTATGTTTTAATATTTCTTTTTATTTTAAAATTGATAAAGAATTGTTAACTATAAAAGTATTGGGGTTGTATTATCATATTTGTCTTTGTGTTAGAACATAGCTAATGTACAGACAAGTGGCATTATAATTTTTAATTATAAAAATTCTTATATGGCATAGAGTTTGTAACCTTTTAGAAGAATATATTTTTATGTTTATAAAATTATTTGATATTGGAATACAAAATATATAAAACCTCCATTATATGCAAAGAATATTATCTCAAATATTTGACTTGTGTAACAAAATCTAGATTAAAGCTACTTGTTCAGTCAACATTTTCTTTTGATAGGAATATACATTGAACACTAGAAAGTATTTTGTTGAAGATTTTCTTTTAAATTTGAGTTAAATTCATTATGTTACAAGTTTATTTTGACTTTTAGAAAAAGACGAGAAAAAGACAAATCCTCACTGATGACGATGGTTTATAAGAAGGCACCTATAGGACATGCTACACGTTGTCACGAAGACGATATAGTATTAGCTGTAGGAACCAATACCAAACGGATTTTACATTATCAAAAAACACGACAAGAAAAACGACTCAATATTCCTGCTGTAAGATTCCGTACATTTTATTCTTGTAGTGTTCTTTTGACAAGAGTTTATCTCTTGCTGCTGACATGTGTTTTGAATATACAATCTTCATCAGGACATCTAAGTTTGCATATGAAGTTGTAAGAACTATTGTGAAGATTCCATATCAATTAATGCCATTCTCTTGCTCTCAACATTTATAATAGTATTTTCAGCAGTGAATTTGGGACCTTTTTTAATGTAATCCAATAAATTTTAATGGAACATTCTGATCTCTGAGTTTTAGGGATTCCCTTTTCAGTTCAGATAGTTAATTTTTCAGTTTTTTATTCCTGGTTCTGTATTTGTAGGATATTCTACTAGACCATTCTGATGTACAGATACATTATGAGTTGATGGATTGTCAGATTTCTATATGTACTCCTCTCGTACCACAATTATACACCGATAACTTTGACTATCAAACTAGAGAAGATTTTGTCAAGGGTATACTAATCAATGAGGAGGTAAATATTTGTAAGATTTTTAATTCTGTATTCTCAAGCTTCTCCCAAGATTCAATGCTCATACGCCTTGTCTCAGATGATAGACTTATTCTTTATAAATACAATTATCAAACACAATATCAATGCAGTGATAACTGATAGTAGCATTTGTACTCCTATTCAGGGGAATTTGTGTTCACTCTTCTTCTATGACCCGGAGTAATCATTTTATGAAACTAGTATGATGTCATTTTAAAGATACCTTATCAGCACTATTTTGGGCGTAGAGTTAGCATGTTGGAAATTAAGCATGTCCTGACAAAAAAAAACCCTTCATTGCACACTGCATGGTGTAGCCCTATATATGATTTTGATAATGATAATTGTGTCCTGGTTCCACTTTCTCTAACTTCAGTCTGTTTTTAATTAAGATTCTAGGTAATACGATACATCTACATGTAATACAAGATGAATATGCTGCTCGAGTTTCTAATTTACAGATGTATGATGCTGTCAGGTAGGGAACTGATTCTTAATCTTACCATGGACCTATAGCCTGAATTATTATACAATGCACACGTGTCCATGATGGTAGTCAATTATCATCTAGTATATTGGTAAATTCATTGTATCATAGATTGGGATCTGAATTTGTCTGGAATCATTACATATTTCAGTAAGGATCTAAGGTCCATATTGTGTGTTATTGGATTGTGAATTTCAATCTTGATTTGTCTTCTGATTTCTATTTCAGTAAAGATATTATGAAAAGATGGACATTTCCAGTTGTACCAGACCAGAATTATTTTTCTGATAAAAAACATGTTTCATACGGTCGTCACAATATTTATAAATCTCAAGACGTCTCTCTAGGAAGGTAGGGACACTTTTTACTTTTCAAAAGTTTAAGTTAAGTCACAGGCCTGTTGTAAGATAAACAAGTCTTTGCTCCTAATCTCATTCTAAAACATGTATGGTTTCTTATAATTGATGTGCTCTGTTTCTCAAAACATCAATTTATCAAAGAGTGGAGGAATTCATGTATCGAACTATTTTTTTGTAGAGGATGTGTACTAGAAGAAAATGTGTTTATTGGGTGTAATACGTCTATAGGTAGTAATACACATATAATAGATTCCGTCATTGGGGATAACTGTATCATAGGTAAGATTTTCTTGTTACATCTTTTGACAATATAGCAAGCAAGACCTGAAAAATATACTTTTATTTAGTTAACAACCTTTATTACAATGGACAACTTTCATTTATCAGTTTCATATTTAATACAAGTTTATTTATAAGATATTCTTTTTATACGCCCAAGTGAATGGGGGGCATATATTGGTGTCACCTATGTCCATCCGTTTGCCATTCGAAAAATAATTAGTATGAGTTGTTGTCCTTGTTCTTAAAAAACGCTTTCAATTTTTAGCGCTTAAACACTAAAAGACATGTTTCTTGCCCGAATTAGACAAAACTGGGTAATATTATTCAGTATCATCCTAAAAGTGATTGTTACTGTACGGCCAAATATATCTATTTAAAATCAAAGCTGCCAGTTGGCATATATTACCTTGCCTTGCAATGGAGCATATATATTACAGGTGATAATGTGAAAATAAAGGGAGGTTATCTATGGGAAAATGTGAGAGTGGAAGATGACTGTTGTATTGATACTGCTGTGGTGGCGTCTGGTGTTACTATTTATAGAAAGACTACCGTAGACGTCGGCAGTGTTCTTGCCTGGAATGTAAGTATCATCCAATTAAAATCATTTCTCCCAATGTTCATATATCTGTTGGTTTTTGTCATTAGTGTTAAGTCATTTTTCTTTTTTCCTTTAACCCTTTGAACCCTGAGTGTAAATGAAATATAGCGTCATATCCCCTGAACTCCAAGTAATAAAAGTAAAACGTTGTATGGCCGGTATACTGGCTGCTCGGGTATATATTGCGTTAGTGTGTGGCCGGTAAACTGGCCGCTAGGGTTGAAAGGGTTAATGCCAGTAGAGGGAGTAAACAATATTTTATAAACTTCATTTGGTTTCAAATTTCAAAAACAGTCTCGATTCAAAAATCTTATTCACCATTTGCCGTCTATCCATTTCTTCATTAAAACTATGACTAGAGATATTCCTTGTAAATGGACTCATTTAATTGTAGATGAACTCTACACTGAACATTTCTTAATGCATATTTTATCATCTCCAGGTACAAGTGGGTCCTGATGTAGTCTTACCCCCCAATGTTTTATTAATGTCTGATAAAGAGAAAGATGAATTTGCTGATTCTGAAGATGAAGATGGCACAGATCAACCAACAGAGGGTATGTAACTTCAAGTCCTTTTAATGCTAAATGTATATTTAAACAGAGCTGTCTTGTTACCACATTTTAGACCCATTTGATTCTTCGATGTCGGCTCTTCCTATCATTGTGAAGCAGAATTCGCCAAGCGTTGGATTGTTCACCCACCAACAGGGAACGTGAGCTGTGTTAAGACCGGCTTGTGACAGGTTAGTTTTACCCTACTGGTAGGGAACTCTTTACGATTGAGGGTTGGATTGTTCACCCACCAACAGGGAACGTGAGCTGGGTTTAGACCGTCGTGAGACAGGTTAGTTTTACCCTACTGGTAGGGAACTCTTTACGATTGAGGGTTGGATTGTTCACCCACCAACAGGGAACGTGAGCTGTGTTAAGACCGGCTTGTGACAGGTTAGTTTTACCCTACTGGTAGGGAACTCTTTACGATTGAGGGTTGGATTGTTCACCCGCCAACAGGGAACGTGAGCTGTGTTAAGACCGGCTTGAGACAGTTTAGTTTTACTCTACTGGTAGGGAACTCTTTACGATTGAGGGTTGGATTGTTCACCCGCCAACAGGGAACGTGAGCTGTGTTTAGACCGGCTTGAGACAGTTTAGTTTTACTCTACTGGTAGGGAACTCTTTACGATTGAGGGTTGGATTGTTCACCCACCAACAGGGAATGCTGGGATTAGATTTGAGACATGTTAGTTTTACCCAAGTTTTATCCTAATTTTAAAGACTGGCAATTATTTTGGATTATTACAGGAACGCCCGAGTTTGGGAGTAAAAGTAAAGCGTTTAATTATAAAGCTTGTCGAGACAGTGATGCTGAAGATGATGATGATGATGTTGATGAGGTCATGTGGAGGTTAAAGATCCACTCTGATGATGAATCATTTGATGACGACGACAGCACGATACTCTCCGATGAGAGTGACATGTTAGACGGTGATTTTGGTGATTTCGGTGATCTAGAAGACAAGGACTCTGCTAGTAAGTTGTTTATCTTACTAGTTTCTACTGTGTTGGTTATTTATTTACTTGGATTCTGTGTGGAATTAGGTTGGTTATGATATAGCTGATGACTGTTTTTAAAATAAAGCCAGAGACTGTTTATGCCTTTGTTACAACTAGTGTAAATATATGAAGAAGTATTGGTGCTAGAAGTAGTCACCATGGAGTGATGGAGTGTAGCCTGGATTTCAGTGCTGTATGAAAACAACTCTTATTTTTTAAATGGCTGTAAAAAACTTACCTCAGTAGTATTTTCAAACGAATAAATGGAAAATATCTAAGATTTTCTGTGATATATATCAGCAAATGTGGTAAAGTTTCTGATTGGAATAAAATGAATCAACGAATCTGAATTTGAAGAAAAACATTTTCTTGTGTTTAACAAAGGTTGGAATTTAAATCGCATGTAGACACAGTTGTTTCTAGTTATTGAAAATTGGTGAGCATCAAGAAAAACTTTCTACAATTGATAATTCATGTGTATTATAAATTTTTTAACAAGATTCAAATTAGCATGAACTAAATGATGTATGTTTCACACCATTTCATATCCATTTCTATAATTCCTGTAATTCCATGGAAACCTGATTGATTTCACAGATTGTATATCATCCAATATATCTTGTATATTTTCAGTGTTCTATTCTGAGTTAATTGATACCTTAAAACGAGCAAAAGAAGAAAATATAAAATCTGATAATGTTATACTAGAAATCAACTCTTTAAAGTAAGTAAAGTTAATTTTCCAGTCCATTTTTTTAAAAATTCTGGCTGTAGTACACTATGGGACCCCATTCTATTAACTCTATGAAACAATTGTATTATGTGTTTTAAACAATTGTTTGGAGATTATTTGTAATCATTGTATTATTTTGCATGCAGCACAGAACATTGATAGTACCATTTCAATTTTATGTTTATTACTCAAATTGATAATTGATGTAAAAGAAGTATGTTCTCTTCTTGTGACCTTGACCAGTGCTTCTATAGAAGAGTATCTTTTATAGCACCTAACACTATGCGGAAGTACTCCTTGAGCTCTATATTTGAAATATATTGGAAAGTTATTCCCCATTTCGCAACACAAGTTGAATAAGTTGAATGATGATCATTTTATACCCATGACATGAGCTCTAGTCAGCTGTAGTCAACTTTATTCATGCTGACCAAGAAGAAAACAGAAATACCTGGAAGATATCTTTGTGGAAATATAGTAGTTTCTTTCTTTTCTTTTTGTAGTGTATAAGATTTCAAGCTTAACCATTAATTATTAATATATTATTTCATATATGATTGTTGATTGTTAAGAAGTCTGTATAATATGTCTATAGCCAGTTGTTATTTTAAATACACAGTCAAATACATGTATGTTTATTTATTTCAGACATGCGTACAATATCTCTATTAACGATGTCAATATGTCAGTGGTGAAGGCTGTACTTGATTTACCTCTCGAAAAAACCAACACAGCTGATCGTTCTAATCTTCTTAATGCTTTTAAAAATGTAAGTTTTTATACGCCCACACTATAATATCAAAAAAGCTTCAAAATTTGGTTGTGAACACAATAAAGACTACAGTTTTCATCTGATTTAAATGAAATTTTGGTGTTAATATTTATAATGATGAGATCTTGGACAAGTTCGAATTAGGCTATCTTTCGATGAATGGTTTTTGAGTTATTGACCTTGATTTATGAAAAATGCATCAAAATTTGTTTGTGAACGCAATAGGGAGTTCGGTTTTCATCCGATTTAAATGAAATTTGGTATGATCATTTATCTTAGTCAAGATATACTGGAAATGTATCAGGAAAGTGGGCGTATCTTGTATCTTGCTAGGCAACCAGTTTTTGATATTTTATCGACATCAGTTGTTCAATTGTCATCTTTCATTAACCATTTCATAGTGAGGCAGCTTGATACAATTCTTTGAAAACACAAAACCTCAAGAACACTATTCTGTTTTAGTACTTGAAGTCCCTCCCCTTTATGTAAATTATGTATATGTAATATGTCACTAGTACTATTCTGATTGTAGAACACTATTCCATTTTAGTGCTTGAAGTTCCTCCCCTTTATTTAAATTATGTATTTTCCATATGTCACTATTCTGATTGTAGAATACTATTCCATAATTAGTACTTGAAGCCCCTCCCCTTTATGTAAATTACACAGTGTAATATGTTACTATTCTGATTGTAGAGTCTTTCTGAACATCGTCCACTGATGTTAAATTATATCAAAAGTTCTGAAGCTCAAATAGACTGTCTGAAGGCAGTAGAGGTAAGTTGAGTCTAATTAAATTCTAATTAAAGTCGTTAACATTTAGAAAAAGATCGTTAAAAATCACTGCCTAGAATTAGGACTTAGACTTCTAAATCCCCAGGGGAGCCGCGGTGGCTCTGTGAGTTGGACGCTTGCTCGCTAACCTGAAGGTCCAGGGTTCAATCTGGCATAGGTCGAGATAATACCTTTGGATTTTTCAACCCTGTTTCCCCCCGTCAGTGATGCAGGTAAGAGGAGCTGACAGTTGGAAATTGAAAAAGCAGGCTAATGCCGCTGTCCTGGCAAAATTTCCCTCATTGCACCCTGCATGGCTTTGCACGTCTTCATTAGCCCACATGGTGCAGAAAAGTAGAACGTTAAACTCCATTCATTTCATTTCATTCTTTTCCAAATTCCCAACCCTTCTCTTTCAATAGTAAGATTTCAATACAAGAATACTAGACCAACTTCAGCTGGATTTTATTTAGATTTTATTTAGATTTTATTTTTAGATTTTATTTAGATTTTATTTAGTTTTTATTTTTAGATTTTATTTAGATTTTATTTAGATTTTATTTCATTCTTTTTCTGGAATTATTCATCCATGATCTCACAAGATATTTTAAATAGCATCAATTGTTTTTTGAAAACATCAAGATTTGCATTTTGATTGAATTGTTGAATTTTAAATATAGGTCTATATATCATGATGTATTTCAGGAATTGTGTATAAACAACGAATTTGTACGAAAAATTCTGGGTAAACTAATTCTTCACATGTATAATGAAGATTATATAGAGGAAAATAATATTTTTAAATGGTACAGTCTGGATTCACCCAATCAAACTGATCCATTTTATAATCAAATACAAACACAGGTAGGCCCTACGTTGTCATAGTTACCAAATATTTAAATATTTATCATTTCGTAACTTGATTCAAATATTAAAAATAGAGACCAGTGATCTTACAGTAACTGTCACTAACTTCTGTTCTTACTGAATTGATTTCATTTACGGTTACTACTAATTCAACAAAAAGTGTCTAGTTGTTTGGATAGGGCAAGAAATTAAGGCCTCAGACTACAGAAAGTGCACGCCACAGAACCCCCAAGGGAAATCAAGAAATAATAGGGTAATGCAGCTGTCTTCATTTCCTCATTGCCCACTGCATATTGTTGTCTTTCTCCATTAGCCCAATTAGATGCAGAAGAGTAGGATGTAAAACTCTATTCATTTCATTTTGTGTTTCTTGAACATAATATGAACGTTGTTGACAGTAACAAAGAATGTCCCAGAATTCATTATTTTATGTTTTATGTACCTTCAGGTTGATCCGTTAATAAAATGGCTGAAAGAAGCAGAAGAAGAATCGTCTGAAGAAGATTGACCCAATTTTTATTTCTAGCAAAATATTCAAAATAAATTTATCTCATTTGTTGTTCTGATCTACTTTTCCTTTCGATCTCCACTTTTTCTGTTGAATACAAAGCTTGTTTTTCTGTAAACTGTGTGGAAATTGCAAAACATAAGTGAAAAATGGTGTCATTTGTTTAAAATTTCCCTCCTTGCACACAGTATGGTATTGCCCATCAACTTAATTAGAAGTCTTTCAAACCAAAACAATGGAATCATTTTCATTATCTTTTATTCAGAAATGACTGACACATACACAAATTCTTAGGCAAGAATATGATTATAATGCTGTTCTGTCAGATTTTCCCTCTTTGCACACTGCAGGGTGTTGTCTCTACTCCATTAACCCAATCTGGTTAAGATATTTCTCTGGTGTTATTTTAGAAGCTTCTGTTATATGTAAAAGATACTGATCATCTCTTCAAACGTGTTTCACTGGAGCAGGTAAACCTGGATCAGGAACTGGTATACATATTCAAGATGTTACATCATTTTTAAACCCACAAATAAACACATTATATTGCCATACATTTTGTTTTGTAATTTTGTACACATGAACACTTGCCAAGCTATTAGTTTATAGTGCGGAAACTGCTAGTTGATTGGTACAGTATGAGGCCAGAATAGAATAGAATAGAATAGAATAGAATAGAATTTGATTTGATTTGATTTGATTTGATTTGATTTTTGATTTGATTTATAATTTAATTTAATTTAAATCTTCAATTCAATTCAATTCAATTCAATTCAATTCAATTCAATTCAATTCAATTCAATTCAATTCAAAATAGTGAATGAAAAGAGCAGAACAATACGGGGTTTGACATAGTCTTATTACACGGAAGAATGACGAATGGTGGTTGTGGTTTGACAGATAGAAGACCATTACCATAAACAATAGGCTTCTTAGTGTTTTAAAAACTGTTTAACTTGGTGTGATGAAGTTAGTAGGTCTACATGAATATATATAAATTAAATAACATTTTAATAAAACATACTCAGTGAGTTTTAATTTTAAGTAGAATTTTCAGTTTTTCTGAACCTAGTTGAAGGATCTCTCAAACCATCTAGATTCTCCAGCGGTTCGTCAATAACTTTACTTTTCTTAGCTCCAATGGTGAAATCGGGTTTCCCCGTTCTATATTTAGAATAATGGTCCACGAACAACTGTTTATCTATCTTACAGTCTAACACTGCTGGATCTTTCCACATTCTGTCAACCCAGGCTGTCAGTAGCGGGAATTCCTCTTTCTTCATTTCATACCCTGAAAATAATGAACGGATATTGAAATGAAGTATACAACTAGTTACCAGATTTGAAGACCGACATCCTCCCGTTGACGCGGATATTCTCAATGGTGTTTCTAGGACACAATAGTTGAGGAGGCGGAGCAGGGCCCACAAAATAATCCAGGGGTCCATAGGCTATTCTTTTACTTTGCAAAATAAGGGGGGGGGGTTAAGCCGGGCCAGCCTCTTTTCTGTTGGGCACCACTGAAACGCCGCTAAATACTCTTTGGATATAGGTTATAGGTCATCAAGGGAGATTACATATCAATGAAAGAACTGTGCATTAAGTTTGCAAATTGGCTAACAGACACAATTACAAGAACCACAGACGTCAGACTGAAATTGGAATGGTTCATAGTAATGTTCCCTGGGTCCCTAGTTCATCTAAAAAGTTTAGAGAACCTCTTGACAATACTTCTAATCCTTCTTTAAATCCTTATACATGCACTACCCTAACAAATCTTGCCGTACCAATTTCCTCAGACAATATGCAGATATAGGGTTAGGCCGTGACTTAATAGGGTCAGATTAGTCAGGCTCTAGGCTATGTGTACATACAGATAAAAGCAAAACTGTCCTAAAACGAACCTGTGATTTCTCCCATCATAGGCATTCGTTCAAACCACGGCCAGGTCATATAGTCGGCGAATCCGATCCTATCACCACTGTAGTAGGGTTTACCAGAGACCTTCAGAAACCCTTCCATTACCTCCAGTACCTCCGTTAAACGTTTACTCTGTACAGGGTCCAAACATCCCGTTAACATCAGACTGTAGAAGGCGGGGTTACCCTAAAATCGGTGCACAATGAAAAATTCATCAGCGCTAAGCAATAGATTGTTGCTGAATGGTGAAAGAAAAACACTCTCTAGGATCTACATCATGAAAAATACTATGTTGGCTAATCGGATCTAAGACAGGGTAAAGCAACCATTGAAGACTTCTGAAGCCTTTTGATTAAAGAGGTTTTCTAATATTTTTTATGTGTATCGGGGACACTGATAGCATCAGTTTGCGCCATTACATTTTTCAATAAGACGTCTGTGGTTCCTCCAATTTTACTAAAACTAAATGTTTTATGACATCACCCCTACAAAGGTCTTAAGTGATACAAGCAAATTTTGCGGGGGTGACGTCATAAAACACTTAACATTATTTTGTATCAGAAAACCTCTTTATAATCTTTTTAATGCTCAGTGTATGTTTTTACCCGTGGCGTGTTTGTAAATTATTACATGAAGAGGGCGAGTAGGGGCCACAAAGTTGTTATATAGGTCACAGTCATACACATTTTATCCCTGACCCACTCTATAGAAACACTATTAGTACCTACCTTTGAGTTCCAGTGGTTATAATAAATCTTCTCCCAGGCTCGACTGACGGGGTCAGTTGTGTATAGTTGTGGGGTGGGGAAAGCTTCTTCTACATATTCTGAAATATTTATAACATAGAAATAAAATTGTTTTTAGAGAAGTGATCAACCTGCCTTCTCCAATCCTCCAATCCTCCAGACTTGTAGATTTTCTATAACTGTGATGAGTTTTCAGTCAATTCCCTCACGATCAACCATTCAGAACGTTGGGATGTGTTACCGTCATCAATTCCATGAGGCACCAACCACCAGCTGGCAATCCATTTCAGCTCACTCAAGGACGAACATTTCATTTTGAAATATCAATTCACTCAAAGGCGCATCCCTCTGGAAACAAAAGCTTATCCACTTTAGAACGGCAGAGCATTGCAATGAGACTGGTAACTTATCTGCAACTTGGCTGTCAGCATGTTCCTTTAGTAACGGTAGGAAGGAACACGGGCTTTCAGATTCATGTAGAACAACATTACTTTCCTATCGAAAAATAAACGAAGCTCCCATGCACTCAGATCTAGAATCAACTACCGACCTTTCGTAAAGATTTCAAACTATCGAGAATTGTCACATGGCCCAGATGCTCAACTCACCTGCACAAATAAGAGACTGGTAGATATTCTGCCCATTGTGTATAATGACCGGAACCTCACCATTCGGGTTGATATCAAAGAACCAATTGGGTTTATTATTCAGATCTATGTTGATTCTGTCGTATTTTATATTTTTAGCTGATAAAACTAATCGTGCTCTCTGAAATAATCAAATGAATTTAAAATAAAATTGGTCATTCTAGCTTTATCATCTGCAAGCTAGTTGGAGGGGATAATTTCGTACGGTAAATATTCTGTGAATCTAACAGCATGATTTGAAGGATATTTTTCACAGAAGTGTACCAGTTGCGATCTATGGGAGAGGAGAAAACCATGTCCTGTTTGTGAGGGTACCCCTCCATGAAACAATAATACCATCCTCTACAGTCGCATATTGCAGGATCTTTCAGTCGTCGTTACGATCGGGTCAACTAAATCCAGCTATTGATCAGGTTCTCACGGTTGTCGTTGAAAATCCATGTGATCTCAGATTCTACCAGTCACTAGGTCGAATTGGCGCCCCGCCCTTTTTGGGCAGTGCGGACAGATTTGATGAGCTATGAAAATTTGCAATATCCTGAGCTATGGACAGATTTGGGGTATATTTGGTAAGATGTGATAATATTGAACTGACCTGGGCGTAGGGACACATTCTCATACTGTACAGCCTCAAGATACATCCATCTGGTAGGGGATCGGCTGGTAATCTTAGAGTGTCTTCGTCTGACATCTTGTTTCAGGTACTCTTCTATACTGTAAACAGAAATAACAGTTGATTATTGGCTCAACTAACATGGGGACTGTTTGAACCAAGTCCACTGGCCCCCAGCCCTAAGGTGGGCCCAACCAACTTAAGTCCACGGGCCCCCAATCCTCAAGTTGGGTCACTGTGAATATAGTCTGGAAATTATTAGACTATCCGATATCACAGGCCTGATTAAAGGGATAAATAGTCAACTTATTATTAATCTTACTAATCTATCTGATATAACATACAGGAATATAATGGTATTAGGGTGTAATGTGTTAGGGTGTAATGTGTTAGGGTGTAATGAGTTAGGGTGTATTGTGTTCGGGTGTAATGTGTTAGGGTGTATTGTGTTAGGGTGTAATGTGTTAGGGTGTAATGAGTTAGGGTGTATTGTGTTAGGGTGTATTGTGTTAGGGTGTATTGAGTTAGGGTGTATTGAGTTAGGGTGTATTGTGTTAGGGTGTAATGTGTTAGGGTGTAATGTGTTAGGGTGTACTGGTGTTAGGGTGTATTGTGTTAGGGTGTATTGAGTTAGGGTGTATTGAGTTAGGGTGTATTGTGTTAGGGTGTAATGTGTTAGGGTGTAATGTGTTAGGGTGTACTGGTGTTAGGGTGTAATGTACTAACCAGTTCGACATAGCTCCAGAGATTTAACAAGAGCAACAAACTGTATAGAAGGTACACATACACTTGTATGACTTGTAAAACGTACATTAGAATATGAGAGACAGTTAACTTTTGTCACGAATCAATATTAACTCTCTAGTGGTAGGCCTGTATATATACCACCAGAGATCTATATTATGACAGACGAATAGTATACAGAAAACAAAATACACTACACTACCTTTACGTCTACGTCTACTACAATCAAAGCTTGTCACGTCCTTTTCGTTTATGTATATAGATATCTGGCCGATTGAAATTATAGGTACAGCTCTTGCTGGCCTGATTATATAATGCATCGATTTGTTTACAAGCCTTGTTTGATTGCTACAAATTCAGATCCAGATTTCATTTTGATTACAGAGAAGATGATTGGATGATATAAATAGTTCACTAATCCACATATCGGATATTGAAACCAGTATTAAATTCAACCAGAATTAAACAGTATTTAAGTTGGTTGGTTGCCAAACCGGATTAAGTATATAAGTTTCGTCTGCTATTGTCGCGTGCAGAAAGATCCGGGTAAATTCGCGGAAATAGAATAAAATGCTTTATCACGGTGATATATTTTTAATTCTGCGAAATATGGGAGAATTCCAGAGAATATGCCCATGCGTACACATATTCCTAATAGTGCGGGGTGGGGAGAGGTCTGAGAAAAGGCCGACAAATCTGGACCAACCCAGTGCTTCTCAGTTCTCACAAAACATATTCTTACTGACTAGTTGAGGGGTACTGAATAAGTCATCTTTCCTCATTATTCCAGTAGACCCTGCCTTAAATAGGTACTGAATAAGTCATCTTTCCTCATTATTCCAGTCGACCCAGCTGTAAATGGGTACTGAATAAGTCATATTTCCTCATTATTCCAGTCATCCAAGCTGTAACTGGGTACCGAATGAGTCATCTATCCTTATTATTCCAGTCGACCCAGCTGTAAGTAGGTACTGAATAAGTCATATTTCCTCATTATTCCAGTCATCCAAGCTGTAACTGGGTACCGAATGAGTCATCTATCCTTATTATTCCAGTCGACCCAGCTGTAAGTAGGTACTGAATAAGTCATCTTTCCTCATTATTCCAGTCATCCAAGCTGTAACTGGGTACCGAATGAGTCATCTATCCTTATTATTCCAGTCGACCCAGCTGTAAGTGGGTACTGAATAAGTCATCTTTCCTCATTATTCCAGTCGACCTAGCTGTAAATGGGTACCGAATGAGTCATCTTTCCTTATTATTCCAGTCGACCCTGCCGTAAATAGGTACTGAATAAGTCATCTTTCCTCATATACCAGTCGACCTGGCTGTAAATGGGTACAGAATAAGTCATCTTTCCCCATTATACCAGTCATGTAAATGGGTATTGTAGAAAACCTTGTTCCTCATTATTCCAGTCGATCCAGCTGTAAATGGTTGCTGAAAAAGATCAAAACAGCCCGAGTCTATCCAGCAGTATATCTGTCCTGACAATTAAAGAAAGATCACCAGGTCTTTATGCGCAGTCTCTGATTGATTAGGTCTAATATTCCAATATTGATATCACATTCTTGTATTTGATTTTTTACAGGAATATTGAACTTGTCTGAAATTGATCAAAATGTTACTCAAAAAACGTTTGAAATAAATAATATTGGTTTTATTGTCTAATACTATAACAAAGACGCCAGTTCAACGATTCACGCTATCAGTAATATCTTGATTTTATGAATATATTCCAGACCGATATTGGTTTTATTGTCTAATACTATAACAAAGACGCCAGTTCAAATAGAGGAATTCCGACCCACTTAGAGGCATGATTTCTGAGTACCAGTTAATGAATTTTAGTCGGAGATTAATATATGAGATTATCGACAGTATTATTAAGAGTTTATTTTATATTATTTTGTACTAGAGTGTAAATCAGTAACAAATAACACCACCAGTAGTCACAGTGGGGAAACATCATTTAAGGGGGTCAATCAGGGGAAACAAAATTTTCCAAGGGGTGCACAGAGCAATTTTTCAGTACGTAAAATGATAAAATAAGATTGAATGTGACGGGGGTGAGGGTGGGAGTGGAAGGGGGGCTCTTTTCTGGAAACGCCACTGATTGGTCATCCAAAACGATATACTCTAATAAATGGCATATAACTTTTGACCTATATTACCAAATCAAGAATAATGACTCTCAAAACTTTTACAGAAAATTCGTGATAATCATGCTCATCAACGTAGGTAAAAACCCTATTGCGTTCACAGGGGAAGAAAATAGTAGTATGTGCAAAGTCTTTTCGATGATGGAGCTGGTCTGACAAACGGTACGATGAACGGTATCTGGCTATTCCGAAATGGTATTAAATACTTGGAATTTCCAATTGACGATTGTGAAGAGGATTCTACAAGATGTATCGGTATTCCACTGTTTTTATTGACAAGAAAGAAGAAGACAAAAATATCGAAGTGGCTACTATAAAACTTTCCGACAAACTTGGACACACTGAATCACAAAGTGGCAGAAGATGGAGATAACTTTAAACAGTTTTATGATTTGATATCGATGTGACATGGTTAAAGTCAATAGTGTTTAATTGATCGCGTTAATCAATAGACTGAAATAATACCTTTCATTAAGATACATTGTTACCAGATTGTACTCACTGGACCAATCATATAAACAATGTGGTTAACATATGCTCTATAACTTTAATAACTACACCTTCAACTTTCATTGAACCATTCCAACTACAAACCACAACGACTATCAACAACTATCTAGTTTCCGATATCAACATCTCAAGCGAACGTAACTCTATCATCTACCAACAACTACCTTTTGTGCGATATTCCATCTTGAAGGAGAATCTGTAAAACATTAAAACTTCAATCTTGTCGGTGATCAGCATCTTGTTTAGATATATATATTACTGTGAAATTGAGATCTGAAAAATCTTTGGCAGAAAAAACACGAGAACCCTAAAGATTTTGGTATCGTGTGGGTGGCGAGTCACCACGATCTTGCCTGTAGTTCACAAACTAGTCTGTATCAAGAAGAGACACGAAGGTTAAAAACTCTCTCTGAACGATTTAAAGGTTTGTAAATATTATTTTTATCAACCCTAACTGTACAGATTATTTCACCAGTTTAACGAATTAGAAATACCATTATCGTTTATTTTTCTGAGAAGGCAAAAAATTATTTTCTCAAAATGTCAAATTAGTAAGTCAATATTCCTTTCAAATGCATTTTTTCAAAATTCCTTCTAAAATGGAAATACATTAACTATATAAATAGAATAAAGGATCGTTCAGTTCTAAATGGTTTTTCTTAAAGAGATCGTAAGGAGGTTTGCTAAATTTTTCTTGTGCACTCATAGAATCGATTGGCGCCATTTCAATTTTCATTCTGACGTCTGTGGTTCTTATAATTACTTGGCGCTATAACTTGGCGTTTTATGACGTCATTATCCCAAAATCTGTTAATGATATGATAGGAACATTTGCGATAGTGACGTCATAAAACAGTTGGTTTTAGTGTAATTGCTTGAACCGCGGACGTCTGATTTAAATTGGAACGGTGAAAATCGATTCTAAAAGTGTCCCCGATACAAGTAAAACCTCTTTAAGGCCCTTTAAGGACGACGTGTGTGAACATAGAGCACTATCAATACTTTGTGCATCTGTTTTATTATATCAATATTGGTTTTGATTTAACTCTGTATTTGGTTGTGTATGTCGACTTTATCTTTGGAATTTTTTTTAGCTTATGATTTCTAAATGGTGTCTTGCGCTCTGGTCCAACTTTTGATTTCATTATTGAATGGAGCTCAAGGCAGCTGTGTTAGGATTTTGAGTTTGTTTGTAAGGATTAAGTTTTGATATGTATACGCCTTTCTTGTGATATGAATAATAGTTTTGAAAGGTATGCGTCCATCTTGTGATTTAAGGATATATCGGCTATCTTCTATAGGTGTTTATATAAACCTACTCAACGTACCTTGATTTTTATATTTACAGCTCAACATTACTTTTTATATATTGATGGAAATTTAAAACCGAAGTCAGAAATACAGAAAGATGTTATTTCTCATATTTACAATCTTTAGCTTGGATTTTAATGCAATTAATGTCGAAGGTAAGGTCATTTTTTCTTCTGACATAAAACTCAATGAGGCAACGCAGTGAAAACTTTGTTGAAGAATATTTTTAGATATCTGGTAAGGGTCTGTAAGAAAGAGCTTGAGATAGCTACGACCATAAGAATATAAATCTTTACCTTATGGTTTAACACAGTCCTTCCTTTTTATGCAGCTATATTGTCGAAAAAGCCCATCCCATGTCGACAATAATATTATGAAGTCGACAACATTTCATCTTATGACGTCGACAACAATCCATCTAGTGACGTAAACGTCGGAAACTGCTAATCTTATAATGACAACAATCCTTCTTATGACGTCGACAAAGAGTAATCTCACAACTTCGACAACGATCCAACTGTCGTCAGGAAAAACTTTCACATTCTGGTGACAGCTGTTAATCTGATAAAGCCGACATTTATACACCTCAATACTCTGGTAACGCTGATTTTATTCTGTTGACAACGATACACCTCAATACGCTGGTAACGCTGATTTAATTCTGTTAACAACGATACACCTCAATACGCTGGTAACGCTGATTTTATTCGGTTAACAACGATACACCTCAATACGCTGGTAACGCTGATTTTATTCTGTTGACAACGATACACCTCAATACGCTGGTAACGCTGATTTTATTCGGTTGACAACGATACACCTCAATACGCCGGTAACGCTGATTTTATTCTGTTGACAACGATACACCTCATTTAGCTGACAACATTCCATCTTATAATGTCGACAACATTCCATCTTATAATGTCGACAACATTCCATCTTATAATGTCGATAACATTCCATCTTATAATGTCGATAATAATCCATTTAATTATGCAGACAAAGCTAATTTTAAACGGTAATCTAATAATGTCGACATCAGCTAATTTTATAATGCTGACAACATCATTTTATGACCATTCATATAATATCGACGACAGCTGATCTTATACCATCGACAACAGATAACCTAATGATACTGACATCAACCCATTTTATAATGCTGACAACAGACTATCTGATAGTGTCGACAACAAATTATCTTTTTATGCCGAAAACAGCTTATTTCAAATGGAAGTCAAATAATGCCGACAACAAAATGTATAATGTCGACAACAGCTAACCTATTAATGTCGAGAACAGCTTATCTCATAATGTCGACAACAGCTAATCTATTAATGTCGACAACAGCTAATCTCATAATGTCGACAACAGCTTATCTATTAATGTCAACAGCAGCTTATCTCATAATGTCGACAACAGCTAATCCATTAAATCGATAACAACTTATCTGATAATGTCGACAACAACTTATATCATAATGTTGAAAACATCTAATCTATCACTGTCGTCAACAGTTAATCTCATAATGTCGACAAGAGCTAATCTATTAATATCGACAACAGCTAATCTATTAATATAGACAACAGCTAATCTTATAATGCTGACTATTGTATAACTTCGACAAACCTGCGAATAATTTGTAAGAATTAGGTATTTCTTTATTGCAGGTGCGTGTACGAAGTTTTCGTCTAGAACAGACTTGGCGAGGGCGGTGATGGTAGAAGGCAGATGTGTGTATGGATTTAGAAACAGTAAACAGTTCGATACAGCCAAAGCTGTCTGTGACTCACAAGGAACCCAACTGATAGTTCTGAAGACTGAAGATAAGCAGAAAGCAGCGTGGAATGCTTTAGGTAAGTTATCACCTATTTGAGGAAATTGATTTAATCCTTTTATCCAATATATCCAATAATCTATCAATCAGTTAGCTGGTATAAGATTCAAACTGAACCACGGCATCAATCATTCAACCGGAAGTAATGTATGACGCGAGTTATATCATGAATAATAACTTTATACTACGGAACGAGAAATATTTTAAGTGTATCGGTGATATTTGCACAAGAAGATGAAGTTGAATCGATGCTGTGGTAAGTCATGGGCTTACAAGTGCCGAAAGGGATGAACCTTGCTGAACTTCTGTGTTAATTACACCATAAAGTTAAAATCATAATGCTTTTCATTTCAGGCTCCGATTTCAGTCAACATTGGATGGGACTAAAAAAGAAAGACAACATTTGGCAATGGAAAGACTCTGGTACATGGATACCAGTGACGTCACCAAGATGGGAGTATGAAGATGAGGGTCACTGTGGCTACACAATGTCGTCTGATAACAGGTTTTTATGGAAAACGGCGTCGTCAGACGCCTGGTACCGACCAGTATGTGAAGAATTGACAGGTAGGAAGTCCTAATCGGTAATCCATGTCAAAGTCTCTCTATAATTGATGTATTTAGAACTATTTTAACAGTGGTATTTCTATATCTCTCTATAATTGATATATCGAGCACTATTTTAACAGTGGTATTTCTATATCGCTCTACAATTGATGTAATGAGCACTATTTTAACAGTGATATTTCTATATCACTCTACAATTGATGTATTGAGCACTATTTTAACAATGATATTTCTATATCTCTCTACAATTGATGTAATGAGCACTATTTTAACAGTGGTATTTCTATATCGCTCTACAATTGATGTAATGAGCACTATTTTAACAGTGGTATTTCTATATCGCTCTACAATTGATGTAATGAGCACTATTTTAACAGTGGTATTTCTATATCACTCTACAATTGATGTAT